AATGCACTAGTAGAAAGGAGAAAGAAAATATTTGGGGTGATTTACAATGTATACATGATGCTCCTTTTATAATAGGAAAAGTAAAAACCCACATATAATTTCACTGATGTGAGACTTCTTTTCTTATATTTTCACAACCTCCTACTTGAAAATTTTGATTAAATTAATCAAATCTTTACAATATATTATTAATGTCTTCTATGTTATTATTGTAATAGACCTTCAGTAGGATCAACTTTATGTAAATTTGTCATTGTTAATTGACTGTCATAATATCTGCTAGGTTCTTCTTGCTTTATCTTTAAATACGAGACAAGATTTCTTGCAATTTGCAAGATATTCTGACTGTTACAATACACAACAATCTTTTATTGTTTGTACAGTTTCTTCATTATCTTCTTAATCCAAATAGTTTTCTTACATGTCTGGGTGACTAACATGTACTCAACTTTTATAATAGACAGAACTACAACATCTTATAACTTGGATAATCAATTATTACCTCTCTAAGAAAGGTAAATTCATCAAAATCACCTACAAAACTTAAACAAATATTGTATCTGACAACTAGTTTTGATCCTCTAAAATATAATACAACATCCAAGGTTCTTTTGATAAAATCATTCTAATCAAATTTATTGTAATATGTACAATAGTCTGAACTTAGTCGGTTGTAATTAAGGCTAATAATGAAGAATCAAATATCTTATACTAACACTTACACTCAGTTTAAACCGTATAGAGATTTGGTTAACCTGCAAACTAAATTTTCTTTTTCTGGTTTGAGCATACTAATCATTTCTCTAAGTTCACCTTGAAGAAAAATAATATTTGTATCATCGCTAACAATAATCTTGTGGATTGTGGGATCCACAGGAAATACCTCTTCACATTGTTAGCATAGTTCAAGAATTTGTCTTTCCCGAACTTTGAAAACACATACTTTCTCTTGATGTAGTACACCTATAATCTCTTAGAGTATCATTATCATTAATGACACAAAATATTTGGCCCTTCTAGGGATAATACCGATGATTCCAACACATCATAATAAACTAAGTCCAATATGTATTTCCTCCTTATACAATTTGATGAGGGACTCCCAAATCTCATTCGTTGTACCCTTCTTCACAAATTTGCTATAACGTTGTTGTTAATTTCTTCTCACCTTTAATTTGTGATGCCCACAAAAATTGTCTTCATCTTTAATGTTGCAATCAAAAGTGCGACTGTACGACTAAATTATGCTTCTAAATGAAAAAAAAAAAACAATGGAGTCGCCACCAATATTTATTTTAAGGAAAAATATCGGAAAAAACATTTAAAAAGGAAAATGATATGCGAAATAAAGGTTAGGTTCGAGAGTCCATTATGTATAAGGAAGATATTATCACCTTACAACATCCGTTCTAAAAACGGTTACCTTTAATTAGATGTAAAAATTTAAGTATCTTAAAATTATCGATTTTATCCCTCAAACTTATATATCGATTAGATATTGCTACTAAAAATAAAAGATAATATATTTTTATATTTTTGAGCTTGACAAAGATCATCTCCCTACTCCTACGTATCCCAGGTGCAATGGAGAATCGGAGTAACATATGTTTGAAATTATTTTAAAGTTGGATAATTATGACTAATCAAATTAGAAGTACATCTAAAATGATTATCATTTTTATGAATAATAATTAAATCGAAATGCATCCAAAGTAGTTTTAAATGTTTAAATTATTATATTTTGTAATTTTTATTTGGATATATATATATATATATATATTTAAATATTTTATTATAATTAAATTAAAAGTATATTTGAAGTGATTATTATAATTTTATGACAATCAAATTAGATGTGCATCCAAAGTGACTAAACTTTTATGAAATATTTTCTTACTACTCAAAAAATAATAATATTGCATTTTTAATAACACTTAAGAAAGAAAAGTCATAATTATTGAGATTTAATTGTTAATATACTAATAATGATATACTAATTTAAATTATTAAAAAAAATAGAATAATTTTTATTTAAAATTTGGATAAAATAATGATAAATAAGTTTTTTTGCTCATTATTATTTATAATTTGTTTTTTTTATTATCTAGTTTAACAAAAAAACATTATTTATAAATGTAACTTTATACTTTTTCGTTAAGTTATAAAAGAATAAATGTATAGTAACCAATATATATATATATATATATATATATATATATATATATCTTTATTTCAATTAAAATAGTAACTGGAAGTAATATTTTAAGTGGAAGATGTAAAATAAACAATTTATAATTTATTTATCTTAAGATTATAAAATTATTTAATATAGGTCATAATTATTATATTTATAAACTTTGGATATAATATTGTAATTTATTTCTCATTGTAGCACAATTGACAAACAAACTCATATGAATGAGATTCTACATCCTATATTAGATGAGAGTCATAATTTGTACGAATATTAATTTTTGGACGAATATGTTCATTTCAACATTTGTTTAAGTTTATTTACTTTTACGAGTATTATATGCTAACGAAAATCAAATTAATATTTCAAAATTTTTCAAGATTCATCTTCATTATCTAAAGATAATATTACACAAAACAATGGGTAATATTTTTTGTTCAAAGTATACAGTACATAAATTTTTAAATTTAGTTAGTTTCTTATGTAGTTTACCTTCTAAGATAATTTGATATTTTAGTTGATACTTTGAATTTTAAATAATTTAGCCGGATAATTATGTAGTTTAATATTTAAATATAATTTAATCATATTTTAGATTGTCTGGATTATATTTTGCTCACAAGTTTTTGTTGTAAATAAAAGTAAAATATTAAAAAAATAATTCAAGTTTGGTGATGTCTTATTTATCATAAATTTACATTAAATCTTATATCAATAGACAGTAAATTTAAGTCAATTGAAATATAGTCTAACATAAATTTATGTAGTATAAGATACAAATAAATTAATATTGGTATTTTATAAGATTTGATATAATATTCTGTGAGTTATTTATAACAAGATAAATTTATATTTCTTTCATATTTTATATACTTTGTTAGATTCTCTTCTCTAATAATAACTCCATATGTGTATTGACGAAAATGACTTTTGTATAAAAATATTATAAACTTTAACCACCAAACACAATAAATCACGAAATAGGACAACAAATTTTTTTCTTCTTTTAAATAATAAAAAGTAGGGATGAAAGAACATAAACATGTTTGATGCAAAATTTAAGAAATTAATTATTTGATCACATGAAGAGGTTTCTTTTGAATAGGAGGAAAAAAATAACAAGACACCTTTGTGTACAAATTACGTAAATAAGTTTAATTATAGTTAAAAGCATGATTATAACCTATCGTTTGAAAGGGCATTGAGCTTTTGACCTTTAAATTAGAACGGCAAGTCTTATAAATGTATAAATTGACTTTGATTTGATGTGTACATTTCACCTTCTACTTCATAAGTTTGAAATATCTTGCTTAGACTTAATTATTCTTCCTGAATAAAATGAATAAATAATATGTGTCAAATATTAAATTATAAAAAATGGAAAAAATGAAAAAAAAAATTGTATAAAAGATAAACAAACCATATCTAACTTTTCATATGAAATTCTTACAAAATAAATAATAGCTGGGATTTTAAAGCCGAAAGGCAAAAGTTATAGAAGACTATTTCTTTTTTTACAAAAAGGTGTGCAAAGATATCTATTGAAAAAAAAAAGTACAATTCGGTGCAAATTAACGAAAATTTAATATTTTGTTAAATTAAGAAATATTTACTTATATGTTAAGATTATCTTTCCATGTTGTTAGATAAAATTAATTAGGAAAATTTATTAAAATATTTTAAATTTTTTTAAGAGGAAATCATCATTTTCTTGATTTTTATGTTAATATTAAAATTGAACTAATTTTAATTCATGAAATCTCACTTATAAAATTTACAATTATAATATAATTAATTGTGATAGGTAAAACTTATTGAATATTCAACAAACAAATATCTATGTACATACCTAGATACCTAATAGTCAAAACTACATAAGGATTTTTATATTAGTAATTATTATTAAAGCATCAAATCAAGCTCATCATTAACGACAAAAAGAAAAAAAAATATAAAATAATTGAACAATCATCATGACTTAGCATAAAATATTCAACTATTTTAAATTAACTTTATTTTTAAATTTAAATTAATAGAATAATATTCAAAATTGTTATACCCTAATTCATAATAATATATATAAACATAAACTCACACCGAAACTTTCAGGTGGCATAAAATATTTAAATGAATCTTATATTTATTTTCCTGTTTCAGCTTCCCTCCTAAAGTAAAAATTTCCGTCACATCACAAGTCAAGAAGCATACATTTGTAAATTTTATTTTTCTACTTTTTCTTTTTGGTTGTTAAATTTTCTAGTCTAAGCTGCCAAACTTACGCGTCCATTTTATCATAAATAAATACCAACATTACTAACCCGCCATCATCGTTCTAATTACTCAAAACATTAAAAATATTACATTTCTTTTTTTATATCATATAGTTGGTGTCAAGTAATAACATATTTTATTGTTAATTTTCATAAAAAAAATTATTGATATTTTATTCTATACAGCAAACTTAATAAACATTAGATGGTATTAATATTGATAAAAAAATCTGCTGTTACATTAATTAGTAAAGTATTTTTTAAATGCTACAATAATTCGTTGATGTTTTACTAATTAATTTTAGTGTTAATTAATTGTATGTAGAAGATATTTTTCATTTTAGTAGAATTAACTATCTATAACCAAGATTCTAATCAAATCATAATTTACACGTTGATACATAAAATATTGAACACTGTCCAATTTGCACGCTTTCCAAAGAGTGTGTTGGGCGAAAAAAGTGAAGCGGAACTTTTAATATTAATTTTGTCTAAATATCCGGCGACTGCGTATGGTAAAGCTGCCCGAAATCTGAATGGGCAGGTCCAAACTCCAAGAAGGCTCCAACACTTAGATCATTATCTATCACCCTCAGAGCTAAACCAGACACACTTCCACGTCACCACCGTGGGAGGCGGCGCGTGGGGCAGTTTCCGGCCACCTCTCTCGGTTCAGTGTGGTGATCGAGGAAATGGGTCAGAGACTGAGTTGCGTACAGCAGCATGATGACCATGGCTTGTTCCCTGCACTTGCTGGTGGGGAATTGGAGGTTGTTGAGACCATGGTGGAGGAAGACCCCGCTGTATTGGAACACACCACTGGCCATGACAGACTCTCCCCACTGCATGTAGCTGCTGCCAATGGTCGGATCGAGGTTGTTCTTCTTGTTTCTGTTCCTTAACTCCTTTGTCCTGTCCCTTGGATTTGAATGGTGTTGTGTGTTTTTGTTGCTATGTCTTTTTATGAGTTTTGACCATGGTGCTGTTTTTGATTTGGGCAGGTTTTGTCCATGTTGTTGGACAGGTCTTCCAATGTTGATATATCAAATCGCCAAAAACAGGTGTTTCTCTAGTTTATGTTTATCTATAATTGCAATTCAACTCTTAAGCTTTAGGATAAACATTTCTATGAACATTTATAAGAGAAGAAAATAAAAATTAAAAATGAATTGAGTTTCTTAGCTTAAAATTAATCTATACATGCAGAACTTTTATGCAAGCTTTCTCATTCAAATCCTGCAGAAGTTGATTGTAGTTTACCAGAGAAACTCAGTTATTTTTTTATTTTTTTTTCTTTTTCTTTTATAAGTGTTCATGGAGAAGTTTAGCCAATCAGAGTCTTAGTCCCTGCTTTTATGAGTTTCACAATATAGGTTGTACCCTTGTTTAGTTTTGTTTCTGATATTTTTAATATTGATTTCTTATGTTGTTTATTTATTTATTTGTGTAGACCCCATTGATGTTGGCTGCGATGCATGGAAAGACTGGTTGTGTTGAGAAGCTTATCCATGGCGGAGCAAATGTATGTTATGTTTTTTGTTTTGTTTAGTTTTTCAAATCCAATAGTTTGAATTGGTTGTAATTTTGAGAAAGTTGATCATGGTTTTCTCCTAGTTAGTGATAGTGGTATGTGCTTTTAATGTTTCAGATATTGATGTTTGATTCTATACGGCGGAGAACTTGCTTGCACTATGCTGCTTATTATGGACATATAGATTGCCTTAAGGCTATTCTGTCTGCTGCTCATTCCACACCTGTTGCAGATTCTTGGTTAGACACACATTCTCCCTCTCTTTCTCTCTTCATACACACAAATAGCCATATGGATCCAAGCACATACAAACATGAATTGTGATGCCAAATTATTCAATGGAATTGTCAGGGGATTTGCAAGATTTGTCAACATAAGAGATGGAAATGGTGCCACCCCTCTGCATCTTGCAGCTCGCCATAGACGGTCTGAATGTCTTCATGCCCTTCTTGACAATGGCGCTCTTGTTTGTGCTTCAACTGGTGGATATGGGTAATTCTCTTTTGGAAGTTATGCATTAGTCAGTCTTGTTTGAATTTTGATGGTTTTTGATTCAGATTGATGGAAGTAACATGTGCAGTTACCCTGGAAGCACACCACTGCATATGGCTGCCCGTGGTGGTTCTTTGGACTGTGTTCGGATGTTGCTTTCTTATGGAGCGGATAGACTTCAATTAGATTCTTCTGGGTAAGTAAATGCGAATTATAGTTTAAAGATCTATAACTGTCAGTGTAGATCACCATCAAAAATAAGGAAAGGACTTGTAGGATCACTGATGAATTATCACTATATGGATGCTAAGTTGTTAAATATGCATATCTAATATTTAAATTGCTAACTAAATTCTCTTTATAGATAAAAGGGTTACATAAGGTGTTGGTACCTCCAAAATCGGGCCTATTGAAATTGGTACTTCAATTTTTTTCAGTTTTTTATACCAATTTTGTCATGACAGATATTTTGTTTCTTTTGAATTAACGTTTTGACATGTTCATTTTGATACTATCATATGTCAGCATACCTACACATATCTTATTAGGATGAATATGTCAATATCATTAATTCAATAATAATAAAGTTACTGTCAATACCAAATGAACATATTTATTAATTGTTGGTATCATAGACATTGATAATTTTTTGGAGGTACCAATTTTAATACAGCCATAAAAAAAATTATTTTACCTTAAATAAAAAGAAGGAAGGAGTCAATTGGCAAATTTTTTCCTTGAAGTGAATTTTTTAACTGACTGAATCTTTGAAATTTGCTGGTTGGTTAAGAAATAAGTTTTTAAGTCTCAGCACGGGATTCCTACACTTAAAAACTGAACTTCATTATTAGATGAAGAAACAAACTCATTACTGAAATTTGAAAAACATAAGCTTATTTGTAGACTGTTTGAATATAATTGTGCTTGATATCTATGTTGTGCACCTAGATATCTTAAGAGAAATAAACTTTTGTTTTTCCTCAGTTAATATCAACAGGGAATGATTTCCTTCTTCATCATCCCTTTTTTTGTTCTTTCTATAATTCTAAAATAATTCTGGATTCCTTAGTCATTACAAGTAAATCTGTTAAGACCTGGCTTAAATCTTCTATTTCAGGAAAATACCATTCTCAGTTGCCCTAAAACACAAGCATAAGGCATGTGCTGCTCTGTTGGATCCATCAGCAGCAGCACCACTTGTGTGGCCATCCCCATTAAAGTTCATCAGTGAGCTCAGTCAAGAAGCAAAGGTCTTACTGGAAAAGGCCTTGCTAGAAGCTAACAGGGAGAGGGAAAAGTCCATACTGAAGGAGGTTGACATGCCTCCATCTCCACTGCATTCTGCGAATGAAGACAATAATATTGCCTCTGAGGTACAACATCTTCCTTTCTTGACTGCTGTAGGATTTAGATTTAGTAGTTTTACTTTAAAGCATTTTGCAGCTTAGTTTGGTTAAAGATTATGCTTTGGTAGGGTCCCAAGAATGTTCTTTAGGACACAATAACATTACACATTACTGTTTCATCTGCAATGTACTCTTTGGTAGGTTTTTGTCTTGGTTGAAAGTTTTTTTTTTCTCCTAGTAATTCTTCATTCCGAGGCTTTCAGGATTTAGAATGCAATAGCCTCATTAGTATGTCATGCCCATGCATGAATGTGATTAATTGTGCCTCTGGAAAAATGGAATGGACATTTTGTCTTTCAAAGATGATAAATTCTTTATCTTTTGGTTATTTCTCTTTATATAGGACAATGATATGGAGTTATGTTGCATATGCTTTGACCAAGTGTGCACAATCGAGGTCAGACCCTGTGGCCATCAAATGTGTGCTCATTGCACCCTAGCACTATGCTGTCACAAGAAGCCTGATCCTGTTACTGCTTCCTTTTCTGGACCTACTTGTCCATTTTGCCGCGGTGCCATAATTCAATTACTAGTTGCTAAGATTAACAAGAACAGTGATACAGAAGTGGAATCTAGCCCTATGAAGCCAAGGAGATCCCGAAAATCAAATTTCAGCGAAGGAAGCAGCAGCTTCAAGAGCTTGTCAGCATCATTTGGAAGGATTGCTGGCCGCAATTCTGGAAAAATTACAGATGAAAAGCAGTGGGAGGTTTCTTGAGGCTTGATAATTCTTGGTGATTATTTTGATTCCAAGCCGGCAGGAAATTGATATGAACGATGGTGAACGATGGTTTTAACTTCTGTGGAATTGCTGCCTATATTGGTTTCTTGTATTCATTTTGTTACAATTGTCCAAAGATCACTAAGATCATGAAAGACAATAGTTTGTAATCGGTTTGAGTTTTGGTTTCTGTAATCCGATTCTTAGCTGGAATTGGAGGATCAGAACAACTATATATTTTTTTCCCCAAATATGAAATATAGTATGCATTTGTTAAAGGTAATTTTCTTTGCTATATATGGTTTCACAAATAAGTAGGTATTCTTTCTTAATAAAGAAAGACTATTCCTTCATTACAATGTGAGTGTTATTCATTTATTCAAAAGCCAGAGAACTTGGTTTCACATCATTTGAATAGTGAACACCTGATGGAAAACTGAAATTTAGTTTTGATTAATCCTTTAGTCTAGACACATTCAACCAGGAAGCCTTAATCACCAAACAGAAACATTTTATTTTATTTTTAACGTTAAGTATTTTTGCATGATCTGAGACATGATTTCCCCTTGAAATAAAGGAAAAAGGGACTTGACGTACTAATCATCACGGGTGATCCCCACCAACATCGAAACAAGCACACAAACCACTAAGTAATAACTTCTTCCACATCAGAATGGTATGCAACTTCAGTAGCTTTTAAAGAGGCTTCAATAATTCAAATTTATCATCTGCAGCATGTATTTATTGTTTTATTACTAAGAACTGGAGACTGTGTGGGGCAAAATGGAGTACAGAATATAACATCCTAATACCTTGAAATTAAATTACCAAACAGGAGAATCTCCTGAAACAGATAAAGAACTCCATGACCTCTAAATGAAATGTAGATCAGTAACAATGGATCATCACATGTTGAAATATCCACACAAACGAGAGAAAAATATTAGTGTTCCTTATTCATCATTCTTCCAGTTCACTGTTAGGATCATGTTCATTTCCAACATCATCACCCAATGAAGCAGATGGCCAATGATCAGTCTGGCTACCCACTAATAGTGAGGCTGAATCATGAATAGGGGAGAAACCATTGGGTCCGTAAGTGGTAGAACACTGGTTCCTTCTATATGTACTTGCTGCTCTTCTCTCAGCTTCGAGGTAGTGAGCAAGAGAGGGGGCATCGTTCGCACTCACTGCATCAGTACTTAGTCTTGAACAAAGTGAAAACAACCAAGGCTTCAGCTTGTGAATCTTTTTGTTGTCCTTTGAGGGTTCCACCATTCTTCCTCTTGTTGATCTCCTTGACAGTTCTAAGAAGTTAGAAATACCAATGAGGTTGCCAAGTGTGATGCTATTGTCACGGAAGAATGATCCAGTGGACTATAGCAAGCATGTCGAGTGAGTTAGGTATAAGAGCTGATGAGTCATGAATACTTCTATAAACAAGTAGAATATAAACCAAATTTCAATTCACATTCATTAACATGATTGAAAAAACTCAGTAATGAATGGGAGGGTAAATGTACACAGTTTTATTCCCTCAACCCAAGAGACTATTTCCAAGCTTTGAATCCTTGGCCAGATAGATATCATTATGCTAAAGGCTCTCTCTCAATCATTACTAAAGAAGCATTTATGAAAAATGTTACTCATACAACCTTCTGTGTTTGATCTGTTTTACAATATAATTGTCCCTTTCTGACAATGTTCAAGGGTTCGTTTATGCATTTTAAAATTGTTTTTCCAACCCTCCAATAGAAGACTGAAATTTCAACAAAGCGTGCTTCCAATTGATCTCAAAATGACAAACAGTATACCAACAAAATGGCAATTAAAGTGAAATCAACGTCACTCTCTGTCAAACAATTATGTGCTAGGCCATGGCATGGACCCCATTAGAGCCAAGCAATTATTTACACACAAAAGAAATGAAGGATCCAAAAGAGACCGACAGGGGAAGAAATCCGAAGCTTTATGGGCGTGTTTATTACGTGTAGCTTCTTTTTCCTATTCTGTTTTGGCTTGGACTTGTTCAAAAATTAAAAAGCTTCATCTTCGTCAGTGAAATAAACACAAAGTACATAGTCAAAAGCCAATGTTCTAACCAGCATGAAAGAGTAAAGCATGTCCAAAATAAGACGAGCTCAATAGGCAATGGTTCAAGAACCGAAAAGGGAACATTGCTGTGTGAAGCTGAGAAGTGCAAGAGTCACAATCAAACTTAATTAACCATTGCAGGATGTGAAACAGTCATTATTTCGTACCAAAAAGTTATATCAAGATATATACATACATACAAAATATTTGAGATGTCTCTGTCTGTGACTACGAACACTTTTATAAATAATACCCAAACCAATTAAAATGTTTCCAGCATAGTAGTAAAAATACAAAATGAAACCACAAAAACAAAAAAACAATGACATGACAACATGCAAGGAAGGTCATAGCAGCTTAGGACAAAGGAACGGGTAGCGATAAGTAGCAATGGTATCAATGAAACAAAAGGGTCGTCAGAACACTATCTTACATTTACAATAGTAATAATAATAATGATAAAATACGTTTTAATCTTCAGTTTTAAATTAAAATTGGTCTTAATCTCTGTACTTTTGAGAACAATGATTTTGACTCCTAATTTTAAATAATGGGTGAATTTTGTGCCTCCTAGTATCCTATGTTCCACAAAGAAAAACAAAATGTATCCATCATCACAAATTCAAGGACCAAAACAATCAAACTAAGATAAACTTTGATTGAAAATTGAGGATCTAAAACACATTTTACCCTAATCATAATATCTATTTTTCACTTTTTTTTGTTCAAAGAAAATGTCGAACCTCCGTGTCAAGATCTGAGGAAGAATCAGTTGAAGGGGTGTGAGAAGCAGTGAGCACAGTGCTGAAGGAGGCTGACCCAGAACCATTTCTTACCAGCCCAAGTCCAGAATTCAAGAATCTCAATCCCAGAGGCCACCCTTCTTCCTGCATCATCATCAACAACAACCCTATCACCCACCAAATTTGAAAGTAAAATCCAAAAGCTGAATCTGGTAAACATTCTGCTGTAAACAAACCTTCAAAATCATTTTAAAGCACCCCACTTTATTTTTATACAACATCAATATGAGTATATTATCTATGTGTGTGTGTGTGTGTGTGTGTGTGTGAGAGAGAGAGAGAGAGAGAGAGAGAGAGAGAGAGAAAGAGAGAGGGGGGCGGGCGGGACAGGGTACCTGTTGAGCCATTACTGTGTTTGCTGAATGTTATGGAGGAGTAACACACTGAAAAAAAATACTAGTTAACTGTCCAAACAAGTGTCACTTCAGTCACCTCTAGATTGTGTACCCTCTGACCAAAACACCACAAAACAAACAAACAAAAGTCAAAATTTACTAACGAAGAGCACAAATAACAAACCAGTGGCACCGACATTCAACAGAAGTGGTATAAAGTTGACATTCAACCAAAGGAGAAAAGACGCAAACGTAACAAACAGGTTCTTTGGTTCCAAACTGAAGCGGTTTGAATGGTTAATTAACATTAATGTTGGCTCTGAAAGTCACACATCGGAGAGAGAGAAAGGGAGTGAGGTGAGAGTGACTTCTTACCTCTCAGGGTTGTTTGGGAGGCTCTGCTTAGAATGTGAGGGACGGAGGCAGAGCTGAGAATTGTTTGGTATCAGTTACAGAGTTGAGAAGCCAGAAGATGGCAACTTCAATACAAAGGGTAGTAGTGACGGAGAAAAGTTATATTATTTAAAATAAAACCACTTCTCTAAAATTTAAATATATATATATATATATATATATATATATATATATATATATTATCAGTTGAAATTGTTATTTAGCGACTAAAAATATTAATTAAGAAAAGGTTTAATTAGGAATTAAAATTGTTTAAATTTTTTACTATGAACTAGAAAAAAAAATCTAAAATAACTTAAAAAAAGAAGAAAAAAGAAGCACATTGTTGTTGAATGACTTGAATAACTTTTTAATGACACTTTGTATTTAAGGAATTTGATTTGACAACGGTTACTGTAAATTGGTCTAATCAACTAGGCCACATTATAAAATTGGTGTTGACCTAAAAGCATTGGGTTGCTCCATATATATATATATATATATATATATATATATATATATATATATATATATATATATATATATATATATATATATATATATCTATTTCTAAAATTGAATTATTTGAACCCACCAGGTATAATATGCTCATAAAATTTCAGGTCTAGTTCGGCTCATTTTCAACTTTAAATTTCCATTGTTATAAAACCTAACATATATAATTTCATATTTATCATTATGGTTTGAGATGAATTAAGCCTTTAAGAATAAGCTATAAGAAAAACAATGATATAGTTTTGGGTCTTAATAGGATAAGTACATATTTTCCTAATGAAATTCGCTCAATTTAAGGAATTATTATGATAATCATAATTAAACCCATAAAACAAGTTTTTTTTCTAATTAGAAATAAAGTTTATCTCAATACTGATTTATATTAATTAAATAATAATGTTTATTACTAAGATAAATCTAAAGATAATATTATAAAAAATATTAATAACTTATGTTTTACATCGAATCAATCTAACCATAAAACAAATATATCTAACAAAATTGAAAACCGATCAAATCTGGGTTTTAATTTGAATTTTTTGGATACAAATATATCTAACATAATTATTTTATTGTTCGATTTTTGGTTTGATAATAAAAAATGAACTAAAATCGAATAAAAATAAAATTATAATATATATTATTAAAATTAATAAAAACAACAATTATTTATTAGTGAATCAATTAATTTCTTATAATTTAAAATGTATATTATTACTTTTTAATTTTAATATGAAAACATATAAAATAAATTAAAATTAGATATATAATATTTTTATGATATATTTTAATTAAATAATTATTTAATTATAATATATTCAATAATTTTATAGTAAAAAATTGATTTGACTTAATTTGATTCTAATTATTTTAAAAATAAAATAATGGATCAAAGTAAATTATGTTTAAATATTTAAATTTTATTTTGGTTCAAATAACATTTTAATATAAAACGTGTATAACGATAACCCTTAATTGCAGCTTTCAAATTTATGGTGAGGTGTCACGGGACATAACTAATACACCATATCATACTAATTCTATAGTAATTTATATTTATACAACTTAAACTTCTTTATTAGATACGAAATAATAGTAGTTATTAAAATCACATTAATTTACCTACTCCACTGGTTTTTAGCGTATTAGAAGCACCACGAATCAGTTTTATCATTTCTAGTTCATTTTCAATAATTTCAAAGAGATTTAAATAAAGTAACATAAAGATATTTAGGTGTATATAGACAAATCAACATAGTGACTTAATTAATCAATATACAAAGATAAAATGCTCGATCATTGACCATGAAATTAAGGTTTGTGTTTAATGGTTAAAACACGCAAAAAATGGTTACTTGAAAATAGAAATAACTTTTAACTCTTTATTTGAATACTCAGAACTTTTGCACTCAAATTGTAGTTAATTATTAATTTTATTTATGTTAGAACAACTAACATGCATTTATAATTCAAATGGGAAAATTTGAATTCCATGGACATTGACACCAAAACCTGACACATGTATATTTCTTCAACATCTTTTATTTTAAAATAAACACTGTCTTGTTAATTATACTCTATATATATATATGTTAAATAAAAAAGCCACGTTTTTTTAAATTGTAATTTAGTATCTTTTTAAAAGAGACTTGGATAAGAAAAAAATAAAAGGGTATAGAAACTCTTTTATTGGTTACACATAATGTTTACTTCGGATTTTAATGAGGAAACAAAATCTCTACGTATCAAAAAAAGTTATTAATTGGGACTATAGTTTTAGAAGTTATCAATTTGTCATTCTCTATATTTATGACTTTCAGAGCCAAAGTTAGTGAATGTGGTATGAAGGTTTTAATTATGTGTCTTTTAATTATGAAGGTGACACATTTTTTTGTCTGAAATGACTCCTTAATTGAATACTTTTGGATTTAGCATTTAATTTCAGTTACGTCATTCACATATACTAGTCTCAATTTCAAAGTTATGTTTTAATTCTTCATAATTTTATATCTAACTTCTTTTCAAAAAGACAATATATAAGGATCATCATCTATAACTATCTTCATCGAAAGAGAAGAAAAAAAACTATACGAGAGTGCAAAGGTGAAATCTTCACATAATGGCCTTTAGCACCCATCAACCTTTTGTCTTTGGAATTTTATGCATCGTTTTGCTCTTGAGTTCAGGTATAATGTTTAAGAGGTTCATTTCATTTCTTAATTTCTTTTTCCACAGAACAATACTTACGAAAATATTCTATCGTTTCTTAGTCTAGTTATTTCGTGTTATGGCGATTAATACCCATTAACAGTTTTTTTAATCAAATTTTATTGTGAATATTCATAATTCTTCTTTTAAAAGAACATGTTGAAAGACTCTTATCCAAATATTAGGATATAAATATATTATCTATTCCAAATTTTGTATCGTCGTATTAATCTTTTATTTTTTTTACTAGTATAGTAGATTTTATAAAAGAAAATTCAAATATTTTTCTTAAATGAAAGGCTGATTTGCAAAAAAGAAAAAAAAATCACGAGTTTATCAAACCAAAATCTTTGATGACAAAAGTTAAACTAAGCAACGCGAAAATCAGAAAACTGGTTTTATTTCTAAAAAACTCATGATGTATAATAGAAATAAAATTCCAGTAAATACTTGACATTAGATATTAATAGTTACAATAATAATAATAATAATAATAATAATAATAAAAGTGACATATATTGTTTAAAAAATAATTTGACGCCAAAAATGTTTTCACAAAAGGAAAATGAAAAAATTAATTACACTAATTCTCATGAACCAAAACAGTGATAGTTGATATTATTCTAGAATGAGGAAGAAATTAAAGCAGAAATATGTAAATGGATAAACTAGGTATCAACATCTCCATTTGAAACAGATGAAAACTCAGAATTAGGGTTATTTGAAGTATGTGTATAAATCTGTTATCTTAATTGCAGGAGCAGTAAATTGTGAGGGTCAGGAGACTCAACCGGTGTGTCCAGGACCGTGCATATTTTGTAACACTCAGTGCACTATCCGTGGCTTTAAACGTGGAGGCGCATGTCGTAGTATTTTAACGTGTTGTTGTTTTACATGATGTTTTCATATCAATCTGCTACAAACCAAGAATAATAATGCATCATCAATAATGGATATTCATGAGAAAAGTGCTTCTCTGGAATTTTATAAGAGGAATTCATGACTACTTGTACCTCTCTAAATAAATTCCACATCATTATAAGGAATGGATTATCTAAAGTGAGTTTATTATTATACATTTGTACTTTAAGTTGAAGTTCAACCACCATGTTTATAAATAACCATGATTGACTTAAATTACGTTGGTTATAAATTGTATAAATTAAGGTGATAACATAAAATTAATTGGTAATTCAACCACCATTACATACAATTTTGTTGCAGGGTCATAAAGAAATTGTGGATATAATAATGATTTTATTAAAAGAGTTTCCTAAGTTGGTTTTGGTGGTGTAACGATCCTAGAAATCGCTACTATAATGATGTCTTCGCAAAGTAGTAAACAAGTAAATAACAATATCTATTTTACATTATATTACTCGTATTTGTAACATATATTGAAATTCCAGGTTCACTAACGAACTTCAAAATATAGTAACATAATTTATTTATATATTATACATTTAAGAGTAGCTCCCTCGAAGCTATCTAACTGAACTATCCCTGCTGTCCAGTAGTCTCATCACCATCTCTCAACTCCTGATCTACTCCCACATAAAAGTGATCATCGCAGTCCCATCCACATGGAAAAATAGGGGTAAGTATTAAATCATTCGATATAATAAAACAGATATAGAATTATAT